TTATTTCTTATTTGCTACTGCAATAAACACTGTTCGCCAATGTTGGACGTTTGCTTTAGAATTACAACAACGATAAAAATAGACCAGACATTCTGTACAGAAACCGTCTTCACATCCCCTCCCCCCCCTCCGCAAAAAAAAAGTGAGTACTGACAAATGTGATGCAATTTTCACTGCTTTCACTCAACCCAATGGATACCGTTATTGGCGTATTCTTTGCCTTAACTGCATACCATTTTTCCATCTTTTATCCTTCCTTACCCACTCATCTTACTGAACTTTACATTTACTATAAACAGTATTTGGCTTTCAAAACTGTGAGCAATTTATTTCATCATTGATAACCCCCCGTCCATTAACCACCGCTTAATTAGCCCTCGCAATTTTCAGCACTAAACAATGTTTGATTTAAAACTTCCAAAATGCAGTTGTCGTTTTTAAAAAATGACTTCAAAACCATCGAATAAATCACTGTTAAGTTGTTCATTAAAGGGCGAAAAAAAGCTCTTTTCATCATTATTATTATGAGAGCATTATAGAACCGCAGTTCTGTGCCTACCAAAAATAACATCTCAAGTTATAATAGATTAAATGTTTTCACTTACTTTTTATTCTGCATTTTCATTTCCAACCTCCTAAACCATTACTCATCTATGGCACTAAAATAAAATTTAAAAAAAAACTTTTATAACATTATTCCAGCAAATAAAATTTAATAAATTGTATATTTCCTTAAAATTTTTAATTCCACTTCTTTTTGTCCTTTTCTTTCTTCTTTTGATTTTTTTTTTTCTTTTTCTTCTACCCGTTGCTTTGCCATCGTTTACAAATTTTCATTTATTATTCAATCAACAATAATTTACACCATTAACCCCACTATTATTTTTCTTGCCAGATAAGTTTGCTAAAATCGTTTGGTCTTAGAATATTCTTTTTTTTTTTTTTTTTTAGCTATTTTTTAGCCTATGGTAAAACAACATTATAAGGTTTATTCGTGAGTCTCCATAGTAACAGCAACATTTCTATCCACCGCATATAACAGCAAAAAAAATTGTTTTTTTTTTTTTTTTTAGGTGATCATAAATGGTGAACAGAATAAAAAAAAAACGATGTTTGATAAAGTTCACCAGTTATCTGTTTACTTTTCTGTTTTTCAAGCTTAAAAATTTCCCTTCTATTATACTGCAAAACAGGAAAAGGAAATAAGTCCTTACCTTAATTACAAATTATCATGAATTAACTTTTGAGCTTAAAAAAAAGCTGTAAAGAATATAATCTGTTTGACCTTTCTTATTAATTTTAATAATCTCTGTTGAAAAAAAAAAACCTTCTGATTTCATTGAAATACCAATTACTGAAAACCAGGCCTAACATTTAAGCGCAGCAAAGACATCAAAGCACTGTTTTACACTTCAATACTGTCTGTAACAAAGCACCAATTCTGAATCAACGCATTTCAATCAAAATACTTGTTAAAAACTGTTTTTCTTTTTTTGCTTAAACTAGTTCCTGATTCATCAACTCATCTTAAACATTTTTTAACCAAGCCCACCACTTTATACCATATATATTCAATTAGACCAAAAAAAAATGAAGACTGGAAAATATTTTGAATCTATACAAAAATCAGAAACAAAAAAACAGACAATGAATCAAAAAGATACATAAGTACAAAAAATGCAGCTACACCTGCAATTATTAAACCAAAAAACTGTTCCAGTAAAAGCTTGGTCAAAAGCCTTTTATCTGGTCTTTAAGATTTCTCAGTACGAAAGAAAGAAACAGAATTTTGAGATAGTGTAAGACACATCTTTACAGGCCAAAAAATGTTACGATAATTTCAACAGGCAGCCTTAAATGGCTTAATTACAAAATTATCACATAGTGTATTTCTTTGTTACACTGATACATCTAAATGAAAATAATGAGGACAAAAATAAGCGTTGAAAAGAAATAAGCTGAAGAATAGAGCCATTAAAAAAATGTGCCATATTTTTAAAGTTATTTGTAATCCATAATAATAACAGATCAATTGATATGAAAAAAAATTTGTTGAAAGCAAAAGTAAAATGCCAGTTTAAAGAATTAAGTGATGAAAAAAACATGAGGTAAAACACTTCACTAAAAGCAAGAAGCATCATCAAAATGCACATTAATAAGTGATATGTGCCAATTTGAAGCAGAACACATTCCAATAAAAAATTGAGAGGAAAATTTTTTTTTTTTTGTAGACTAATCCAAGAATCAACAGATTGCAAAAAAGAACTAAAATTCTGATAATAGCATCAAAGAATTACAGTTTTTTTTTTGGCTTTGTTTTATTCACCAACTGGGGACACGGTAAAACTTCAATTCATACCTTAACAAAAAAAAAAACCTATTTTTCCAAAGCAATTATCATCACTTAAAAACATACATAAATAAAAATAAAAAAATAAAAAGAAAATGCAAAAATGCTGCAGACAACTTGTCAATGAAATAATTCCTCCATCTTTCCTTTTTCTCCAAAATTTCCTCTACTTTAGTCATCCAAACAAACAAAAAAAAAAAAAAAAACAAAACCCCTTCCTTTTTACATAACATAAAACTGTAAAACTGACAGCGAACAGTTAAACAAAAAATATTTTTCTCTTTTTTAGCAAACAAAAAACCAACAATATAATCACAGTTAATTTTAATCCATCTAAAAATTCGTTCTTCCGCTGTTTGTCCGCCTATTTGTTTTTCCGAAAAAAAAAAGAAATGTGAAAAAAAATTTACTAAACGAATCCATTTTTCTTGCCAAATAGTCCATTTGCAAAAATTGTTGTAAAAAATCAAAATTTTTGTTTAGCTTTTTTTTTTTTTGTCAGCTTTAATAATGATATCAGATCCAAATAAAAAAAGTTTATTAGCCATAAACAACTATGGGTATATTGAGTATTTTTGCAAAACCGAATAATAATAGCATTTTAGGAAATCCCTACAACCTTCCTAAATTTACTGTATAATAACACAAATACATTAATTGACATAAAAAGAAATGAGAAACGAAAAAAATACAAAAACATTCTTTAGCCTTTCCAAAACTTTCACTGCAAAAAAAAAATAATCAATGCTCAATCCTTTTTTTTTTTTACAACTTTTTGCTTATCAAACTTGCTAAATTATCGTGCTAAATTAATTTAAAAGACAGAGTAATATTTGATTAAACTGCAACAGTTGCACTGCACTGCAAAAAAATTGTTTTTAGCTTCAAAGCAGAAAAAACTGAAAAAAACTTAGTTAGAATATGTTTTTGTAGTATCAACAGTGAAAAAAGAAAAGTATTTCTTGTTTTTTTTTGTAAATTTATTTTTCCTTCATCAAACAAAACGACCCTTAAACTAAAGACCATTCACATCCAAAAGAAAGAAAAAAAAAACGTTTTTTGTTTTGTGTTATGGTTCTGATAAATTGAATGTTGAAATTTCTGGAGAATAAGACACACAAAAATGCAACACACATTAAAAGGTCGAACAAGTATAAAAATAAAATAATAAAATAAAATGAAAACTAATAACAGTAAATGTTGGTTTTTTTTTTTAATGTAATTCAAAACTTGCTGTTTTGAAAATAAAACTTCATTGAACAGACTGACTAATCTGAATGTATTTTTTTGTGCAAAAAACCCCTTCAACATCATCTATCTGTTATACGTCTCTGATGTAATTTGTACAAAAAAATATAATAATACAATTTGATACGATGGTTCTCAATAAAAAAAAATACCAATAGCCTCATAAACTGCTAAAATAGAGATGTTTGTAAATTGAAAACAAACAAAACAACAAAAAAAAAAACGATGCAGTTTGAGATTATATACAGATGTGTATACTTGAATGCAAAAAAAAAAGTTTTTGCCATACAATAAACTATCCTCACTGTATCCAATAAACCAGTCCTGAGTTCAATTCAAGAATATTCCCTGATATTTGAATGAAACCAAAAAAAAAGTCCAAAAAAAAAGGGGGAAAAAAAACAGAAAAATAGATTGTTAAAACAAATTTTTAACATTAAATAATCACTCTAAGATTTGAACCAACAAAGAATTTTATCATCAGAAATGATAACAATGAAAAGGTTGATAAAATTTTTATTCCTGCTTCTGGTTATTTCTTCAGAAAACATGCTAATCTGGGATCTCTGTAGCAATATAAAAAACCAACGTATATTTATGCTGTATAAAGTGCTTATTTTGTGCACGATTAGCTTGAAACGAACAAACGACAATGCAGCAGAAGAAGAAGAAGAAGAAGAAGAAGAAGATAAAAACCAGAAATCCACAAGAATCATTTAGTGTAACCATCGTAGAAATTTTTGCTCATTATATATAAATAAATACAAGACAAACTTTTCCATAGAATAATAGCTTTTAAAAACCGTTTCTTTTTAAAGTTCTATAGAATAAGGGAAAAACAGAAAAAGAAAAGGAAAATTTGTGGTAATCGAAAGAGAACTGTAAAAAGCTTGAAAAAAAAAAAAAAAGAAAGATAACTTAAGTTTAATAGACAATACTTGGTTACAAACACTTCCCCTGATAAGGTTCACCATTAGCAATATCAAATAACAATTTTCTTTTTACTAAAGTAACTTATTCGTTTAAATATATTACACATATTAGACTGCTCCCACTAAATACGAAGTCAAATTCTGAGCTGAAAACTGAGAAATGGAAACAACTACGGCAAAAGTATATCGCATCTGTCAGTTTTCCGATCCTTAGCATTGTATTGCACTTAAAATTAGCGTATATACTATCTTTAAATATTTATCAATTTTCATAAGCAAAATTCTTCAAATTTTTTTTTTT